GAAAAAAAATGCATTAACTTAATTTGACTTATGTCCATTTTTCCGTTACTATAAACAGGGACCTCGTGGAAACCCGGGCGGCATAGGCCCTCGTGGAATCCAGGGAGCTCCGGTGAGTGGAAGCTTACTATTATCTCTGCACGGTCCTCTGTGCTACTTGGATAAAATCCTGATGAAAACTGACCATTTTTAGGGGGATCCAGGCCAGAGAGGACCCATTGGTGAGAACGGCCCAAAAGGAGTGCTGGTAAGATCACAAATTTAAAAAAAAAAGAAAGAAATTTAGCATCAGCCCAAGTTTTCTTTTAACTCTCCGTTTCCAGTTGAAATACATCACCCAGTATGAACTTAGCATGAAATGAACTTAGGCCTGTCATCATGTGAATTTGTTTGCAGTTAATTGCAGTTTGTTATTTCATAGGGGGACCGAGGTCCACCAGGAATCAGAGGAGTTCCTGGGCCAAAAGGAGACCCTGTGAGCACAGATATGTCGTATACATGCTAGAATCAATCAGTCAATGAATCGTTTCTTCTTTGTCTTCTTGCTGACCTGCTTTTCTGTTGTTTTCTACTTCTAAAACCATCCGACCATTGTCTGTTGAATTCATATTGTTATCCTCCTTTCCCACCTGTATTCTACGGACGAGTTTTCCTGCGTCTTTGTCTTGCTAGAATTCAGAATTTAATCGCATTAACGCTCTTATTGTACTGTTTAGCTATCATGGCTGACCGTATTGGGTTTAAATAGCTTTATCTCTACACATATTCCTTCTCTACCAAATATAACATCTTCCTCTTTTTCTTACTGTGGTACTTTGATTTAAATGTATCTGTATGAAATAAGCTTTGTAATGAGATCCCTCTTATCTTGCCAACAGGGCCTTCCTGGTCCAGATGGTCAAGAAGGAATTCCTGGACTGCCAGGGTCCAAGGTAACTGTTTTAATTAATATCTAATTAATAAGGAATTACTTTTAGCAACAATAATACAATAACAATAAAGGTGTTTAGCAGTTCCTCCTCCTTTAGCAGTTCAATTGTTTTTATTTTTAGGGTCTTCCAGGAAAAAATGGGGCTCCAGGTGATGCTGGCCCACAGGGACTTCCTGTAAGTGACGTCTGACAGCCTGATTCCTCATTAACATCTTTTCTTGACTCAGATATTTTCACTTATTACAATTTTCTTCATGTAGGGTTTGCCAGGAGCTTATGGTCAAAAAGGACACGGAGGTGCAAAGGTATGATCAATGCTTCTGTACCAACACCTCGTGAAAAACAAAACGATGTCTGCAGAAAGATGAGCCAATGATGTTCTGTTTGTCTCTCTGTGTCACCAGGGTAACGCAGGCGATCCAGGAGTTGTTGGTCTGATGGGGTCTCCAGGGAAACAAGTAAGTTTGAAGCAAGGCGAGATGCA